GTTCGTCCAACTTTCCTCACACAATGAATTCTGTTTTTCTGGAATGCAACCAAATATATTTGTTGAATATATTAATAACTATTCTCTTGTATAGTCACTTTCACGTGCATGATATTCACAATGTTTATGTCGTTCTTTTTAGAACTGAGAGTTTCGCACAATTCCAGTTCGTTCCTGTAAACCAAACCAGGCATTTGAGCTTACTTTTCGTGCTAGTTGCGAAAATGTGTACTTTGTCATAAACATTTGTCGTTATTTTTTCGAGGAATTATTGAGAGCAATAGGCAAAGCATAAAATAATTGTGCAATGTGCAAACTGAATGACACGTAAATCTATCTCTTCACCTCATTGATTTCGGTTTGTAATTTCATTTGACTCATCCTCTATTTATGACTATTTCTGTCACTTTGACATGTATAGATTTTAAATCATAACCACGGAAAATGTTTATTGTAATGCCATGTCATGGCTTTTGTGGCACTGTAGAAATAATGTGAAAACCGGAACGTCAATTCAAAACAAGATGTGCTCATTTGCTGACGGTGAATGTGTGCAAAACACCCCACCACCCTGGATGGAGTTTGTGAACTCTTTTCTGTACCACTTCTGTTCCTGTGTCGCCCAGTTTTTTATGTCCAATTCCTTTGCCACGGTCTGTTTGGCCTCTGAAAGCTCCTCATAAGCTTCTCTTGGTCGGATGTCCACGTCAATACAAATGCACAGTGAACAGCTTTGGAAAATTCGACACAGTGTCGCTTGAGCCCCTTTTTCTGCGCTGCAAAGCCTCTTGAGCGCGTTTTATGTGGCCACAGGGTCTATTAGATAGAAATTTGTTCGGTATATGAAAACACAAGAGCTTCGGGACATAATTTTTATGGCCCATTCATCCACTTGCGGGCCCCAATCGATAGTAAAAGAATAAAGTCAGCAATGGCCGGAAAATCCTCCAGTGAATTTTACTGCTTATGGGAAAAATATTAATTTGCTCTCCTTGACGGAAAAAGCAACAGCATAGAGGCGTGAACAATGATGATGAAGAGCCTTAATTGGGATGATAAAAAATGCATCTGAGAATGAAGGGAGAAAGATTTCTCAGAAACTTGAGTGGAAACTTCCGTTGAAGTTGCGGAAAATTATAATTGCAGAGGATAATTAGATAAGTATGTCATAGGAACATCCTTCATTCTTCCTGCTGTCGCTTTTTAGTTTTAGAGAGATTTTCAGCATGAGAACTTTCTAATAAGAAGAGCGACTCAGATGTTATTTTTGCCTGAAATTACAGTCTGGTTTTATTTTCATATATAACTTTATTCCTGACTTCCAATCCTATCCAAATTAACTTTTAGCATTACATATTCTGATAGCTTTCTTCTAGATTCTTGTAGAGATTTTATTTAATTTTTGTGAGTAGAAAATGGCTTTCAAAAATAAAATCCAATTACTTCACTCCTATTGAAGACAGAATGCATGAGATTTAATTCTAATGTCATCTTAATCCACTCAAGATGCTTCCTGAAATTTAAATAAACTTTCCTCGTGGCAAACTTCAGTCTCTTAATGGTTTGTTCTGTGCTTTCGCCTCTCCTGAAAAAGAACAAACAACCCCTTGCCGTGCAGAAGATAGTGAGTATGTTGTTTGTGAGGATCAACGGTTGCACATAAAGCACAGGGTTGTAAGAGACATGAAGGGAACTTATACTCCATAATATAATTTTGCAGTGTGGCGTGAAAAGGCAAAACGAGGTGTACTGAAGCGTGTCGGCGGAATATTGGGGTGAGAAGAGAGCTTTAAATATGCAGCGAGAGAAAAACCCCATCATCATTGGGATCTTCTCAAGTCAAAGCACCAAACAACCTGAATCCATAAACAGACAACTCATCCACGGCCGCATGTGAAAAGTGAATCTATGGGGCGTCTAACCCGACTCACGGCGCGCTCAGGGTGAAATTTATTCAATGAAAACAGCTATTTATATGGAAATTGTGTGACGTAAATAATGTGAGAATGTTTTTCCAGACACATTTCGAGACGGATAATAATTTTTTGTCTGCCTCCTGTCTTTTTTTCAGCCCAACTGGTTGCTCAATTTCCATGGGTGGCATTCTTCAGTGGCGTTGAAGCATAATTGCTGAGTGTGGGCTGGTGAGAAGGGAAAGAAGGAAATAGCGAAAAAAATTTCGACACACAAAATTACTTTATCACATAAATTTTTCCCTAATTTGTGTGCACCCACGACCAGAGAGGAAGTGGATGAGGAGGAGAAAGTTACTGATTATATGAACTGGGGTATTCATACCATTTCGGCATAAATCAAAATATTGTGCGCAAGTAGGACGCTTTTTGGGGATGCCGCACGTCCGAAGGCCAAGAAGCTGAGGAGGGTTGATGTGAAAAAGTCGGCGGTGCGGTAATATAGATAAAAATCAATTTCGTGGATGGAATTTTCATGATAAACGTCTTGGAAGGGTGGAGACCGCGTCTCAGGGACTGGAGCAAGGAGTTGAAACATCAGGTGTTCTGGGCAAAAGGAATTAGTTTTTTTCCCCTTATACTTGTCCTCATCTCACGAAACATTGATAGAGCGTCTTTGTGTATAAATTAGATGGAAATTTGTACAGAATTCCTGAGCAAATTCCACCCCAAACCATTGAAGGTGTCCAGAATGCGAGGAGTTGAGGCCTCATGAGAGATCGAGTACCTAAATGTACAAGTTATTATGAAATTAATGTAATGGAATTAATTTCAGCATCTTGTACACTCACTTCTTCCGAAAACACCCATTCCAGCCCGTACTTAAGGGAGATTATTATCTATTCTGAGCTTGTTAGATACTTCATCCACCCAGAATGCCACTCCATTGATTAGATAAAGTTCGATCTGTGTGAAAATCATTGAGAATCTTGTCACTATGCGAGACTTTCTCTTTATTAACTTTTAATCAAATCAAGCCTCCCTCGTGATGCTCTTCAACATCACACCATGTCATTCTGAGGTCAATCAAAAAGCTGAGCTTCACCTCATTTTGAATAGGCCGCAGATTACTTCAAAAGCTTCAGTACACTGAGAAAAAGGTAGATAAGCACACCCTTCGCGTGTGTTATTGTTACTAAATGAATACACACCATAGTGGAATATATTATCTTTGTGAGTGAACAATTCTCCCACGGACCACAGAGAAACCAGCTCAATTAACAAGAGAAGCAGCGAAACATCTTCATGCGAAATGAAAACCTCTGAAATATTAACAAATCTTTAATATCTTCTTTATAAAGGAATGAAGACTGAACAAAACCATTGAAAAAGCATATTAAATACGTTGAATGATAACCTCAAGACACACGTCCTCGAAATGAAATTCCCTAAACCGACGGAACAACCCTCTGATTAACTCCTTGATCTCATTATCATTGACTTTCGAGGCACGATAAAACCCCCTCGTTGGAAAATTCACTCCAAAAGGAAGAGTAACACATTCTTGAATCTCTCTCTCACTCAGTTCCCATTGCCATAGGCATGCGACTTGGGTAGATAAAAAATTTAATGAAATTTGCATAGATAGGAATCTTTTGGCTGTACACACCCTCCCTGATAAATTTCCTCCGAGGGTGTATTAATTTCTTCGCTCAATTTGTATCCAATAAATGAGGCAGGAAAACACACGTACTCTTTTTCCAAAGGCTCACAAAAAATCCCTCTCTTCTGGGGCACATTTCTTCAATATCTGCTGGATCTCTTGGATAGGCTGTGTGATGAAAAAGGGAGTGAAAAAAGTCGTGAACCCCTCGCAAAATTCACAAAACTGATGATGGGGATGTTGAATAGACGTCCTAACACTGAATAAAATGGGGGAACGGGGCAAATAAGATGGAAAAAAGCTCTCGCAACAATGTCGAAATCGCGAGAGGCCCTTGGAAAGGGTGAAATGAACTTCGATTTTGGCTTATCTGCCATCTAAGTCGGGGAAAATTGTAGAAATATTCATAAGATGAGTCCTAGAGAACTGGAGTTTGGGGTGCGTTCTTCTGTTCATCGCCCATGCTTTAAAAGATATATTCTTATAGACAGCAAAAATCGACAACGAATTTTCTCAGCAGGGAACAAAATACTTAATAGGAAATTTATTTCCCTTCCACAAGAGAGAAAAACATATTCGTTTCCTTTTCCCTCCTCCAATGCAAAATTAAACTTTCATAGGACATCCACCTTCTCACAAATTCTATGTGATCAGCTTGGTGATCAATTACATTTTATCGTCTTTTTCTTCGAGACACTTTCCATCATCGTATGTCTTAAAGTGATGTCATGGCTCATACATGGCGCTTCGGGGAAAAAATCTCCTTCCAAGTCTCCATCCTTTGCAAAGCAAGGAAGTAGAAGAAATATAAAAAAGTGTATAGCCAAATAGGTCACCGATTTTCCTTGCTATAAGATTTTGAAATTACCAAACGTGCATTGTTATTTGTGAATTAATATAGATGTTATGAATAGACAGAGTTTGTGTTTAAAATTTTGAAACTATGAGAACTATTTACTTTGTAGGTTAATTTTCGGTCAAATTTTATAGTCTTTTACAATTAATTTTATCCTGTGTTGTGCAAAAAAGATTGAGATGGGAAAAATCAATACAGAACAAAAGCTCAACTCCGGAAAAATACTGCGAAAAACATCAAATAAAACCATATTCATCAATCACAGTTTCATTCATTTATCAATAGACGGAGCGGGAGATGGAATTTTTAAAAGCACGCCACAATTAGTTCACTTTTCCCAGAAATCCAGAGGCGTGTGTTTCACCCCCAACACGGCGGGTTGACTGAACTTGAGCGCGGAGATGAGCTTTTGATGCTGGGTACTATCATGTGTGATGAAAATGTTAATCCCTGTTCACACACGCGACATTCCTCATTTTCTCTGAGACATATAATATGTCTTTCGTTCATCTTAATCTGTGAGCCGCCAGAAAGGCGCTTTCGTCAACTCATTTATAATTCTTCTCACCTTGTCTCACAAGCCCCAAAAGCTTCCGTTGCCGACGCGGGGTGGAGATTTTCCGGGAAAATTGTTTATTAATTGAAATGTAACACCACGTATGATTTGCTAATGGCAATAAATCCACGTGTATTTAAATCCATGGCAAATGCCAATCCACTAGCCATGCTCAACCTTTCACTTGCACTACCATAAATAAATTTACAACATCACCAATGCCATTGTCTATGAGGATTGTGAAAATTCTCAGTCACTGGGATATATTCATTGGTTCAGGTTCTCTCTCATGCACACTGCGAACAGTCCCGGCCTTTTATTTACACTTACAGAGGCAGAGAAATCCTCAAATCTCGCCAAACATTGGCAAATTGTTTGTGAAGTAATGAATTTAATCTGTGTCCCACAGTTTCCGGTCCATCGGTCACATGTACAGCACGCCCCCCTTTTCACAGTGTCGCCACACAGATCTCAGATTTCGCCCCACATTCACTCAGATTTATCCACTTCCTCCGTCTACCACGCACTCCCGCTGGGGGCCACTTTTCTCTCACTGCGATATATATGATCTCCTGAGAGGGTCGCCCGAGCATCCGGTCGCTGCCACGATTGCCAGAGAACTGGATGGGCAAAAAATATCGACACCCGGTGCCGTGGATGTGCCACAGATGAACTGGATGGTCGGAGCTCGGCAATCTCCCGAAAACACACATAGTTGATATTGCAGTCATTTACCTCGCTCAAACTCGGGCATATTCGTGCCTGGAAAACAGCCACTTTGCACCCATACTCAGGCACACTCACAAGGGGGAATTTCCCTGGTGATTTTCATTCAAAGGAAATTTCCCCTCCTATGTATTTCTCCATTCCACTAAACCGCTAACATAAAACTCCCGCCAATTCCCCTTTTTAGAGAATAGGCAAAAATGTGCAAGAAAACCAACACCACTCGCGTCAATTTCACCCCCATTTGATTATGATTGAATGGAATTTCATGCATGTTCCAATGCATAAGTCAATCCATGGACCACCCAAGAGCAGGCGTTCTTGCTCAGCGAGACCCTCAAGTGATTTATGCAATAATCGATTGAATAAATTGGAAAGTTTCCAGCAAAAGCTTACCCACCCGCAATCCAGGTGAATCACATATACGAAATGCCTCGAAAAAAATACTATTTTGTTTGATCTACCTTGTTTTCTCGTCCCTTTTCCTTCCATTTCTTTTCTCACGATAACATGTGACACAGCGTCGTGGAGAGTGGGGGTGTAACTATATAGTGCTTAAGGAGCAAACATCAAATAAACTTTGTTTAAACTGTAAAGCTCTACGTCCTTCAATTTGGGTAGGTGGGTGGAAAAAGTGAACTTCCTGTTGAAAGTTTTCCGGGAGAGCATGCTCAAGATTAAGGGGATCAGGTTAGAGAGCCAACAAATGCAGATTGATCCAAGACTTCAAATAAAATATGTACATGTGTATGCATAATACAATATTAGTGAAAAATTTCAGGTAATTATACCTTTAACTTAAAAAAGTATGGAAAGAATTCAAAAATTGAAACTCAAATTCAAAAGAAAAGAGCAGTAAACTATGAAAGCCATTTCCATCAACTATATATGGTTCAATCCTTCAAAATAACCTCGCCTTTTTTTTAAATTTGAGACAACATTTATTCGAAATTCAACAGGGGGTGTTAAAGCCGTTTATATCCTCTCATGGTTAATCTGAACATTGCAAGAGTTCTATCCTTTCCGAAAAGCTTCAGCATTGAATTGGCAGTGGAATTTTTCTTCCTTCCGATGGAATGAATTACGCTTCTGCGGTAACGCCATCGTGTGAGCTTTTGGGTATGGGAATTTAATTGGAAAGTGAGTTCTCACACAATAATCCATTGACAAACATCCCTCGACAATTGAAATTCCGCTCCGCCTCTCTGAAGGATTATTCTGCAGTTGTATACAAAATTGCCGAACCGCAAACAATTCCACCTTATCGTTTGGCAGTTTTATTTTTATGGGTTTGCTTTTATTGAACTGTAAATCGAATATTAGGTTTATTTTGTATCTACAAATGTGTGCGTGTTGCTGTGCATCACAACGTGGCAATGAATGGAGACGAGAAGCAGGCAATATTTTGGTATGTATGATATTGCGGAGTTTCGGTGAGTTGCGCCGTTTCAAATGCATCGTAATGGTTATTTTATGATTGAAATTTCACAATGTCACAAACCACAGAAATTGATCTCTGATCATCTCTTAGCTTTCACCCCAAAAGCTCTTTTCGGAATGGATTGAGGGCGTTCTGGGGTGGGTTAAAATGATTTCCATATCGGAGAACGCATTTGTGTTTGTGTGGAAAACAGAATTTTTCTTCTGGAAAAATACAACAATAAAATTCTTGTTTTTGTGCGCCGCGATGGCTTTTTCCGTCTGCTTTCAATTTCACATGCGAAATGAGACATATAACCCATGGCAAAGTACTAGCAATATTTATAAAAATATTTTTATGGTATCTAATGAAGGAACTCCTGCCGCTCTTCGGCGCACCGAGGAAGATACTAAAATATTTGAGAAGTGGGCAATTTTGTGAGAAATTACCTTTTTTCCTCTCGGTGACAAAACAGTATTTTGCCCGTTTTAAGAAATGTCACCGTGTATTCTGCCCCGTTTGTGTATTAGAAAATATCATATGTTTCATAGCAGAGAGAAATTCAACGAAATAATTTATACTGCAGACTTTGTACTGGAGAAGTTTTCAATTATGCACAGTTGAATTCTCGCGTTGCGATAGGAAATACTTTAATTCCCAGCGTGCATGAAGGGAAAGCGCTTCAGTTGCACTCTGTGTGGTATTTTGTGGTGAAATTTGATGGGTGAATGGCGGGTAAGTGATAGCATCGATATAGGTCAAATTTCATGGTTGTGTAATTATAAGAAAGGCATGTAATTCACCATAGAATATCAGTCGGATAATGCCTGTGAATGAAAATTTAATTAAATTGCGTCGAGATAGCACAAGTCTCGAGTCAAAAACGCTCAACAATGGTAATGATGAGAGTCCAGAAGAAGTGGTAGAAGAGCGGGCTTTGAAATTTTGCCAATTCCTGGATTTAATGTCAAAAAATCAAAGACTCCGGCTGAGGTTCCTTTTAATCTTCTTTCATCGCAGTCGCTCCAATTCAATCGTCCTTTGTCCCCTCTTGTGTGCGACTGAAGAATTCCTTCTCCATTTTTTAGTATGACTGCTGGGTGGGAATGGAGGAACTCCACTTGTATATTGTGTATAAAATCCTATGAGTGAGTGAATCAACCAACAAAGTCCTTGTTTGTCGAACAATATTCCCAGAAAATTGATCTCGCTCTCACTCTCTCTCTCTCTCTCTTAACGTTACTCGTGGACTTTTTTCACCACCGTGGCCTTTAAAGTATTTGTGCTGAGTTAAGGAGTCACCGAACATTGGGCACGAATTGAAATTGGGAAGTCTCCGGTTTCTATACCCTCGCCATAACCGACACATCTAACGATTCCAACCGTGGAACTTTTCACAATTCAACTATGTAATTTGATGTGACTTGATTATATTTCACAATTCAATTGGAAAGTCAAATAATTTGGTGCACTTTTTAGCTATTGGCTGGCTTATTGATTTCAACAAGGAGCAACGTGAGCTAGGAATTGAATTACATAATCAAGGACGATAAAGTTCAGTTGAAACTCACATTCTTCAATTAGTTCGCCAATTGGAGAACAAGTTTAATTCACAATAAGAAACTTCGTAAAACGAAAGTTTTGCATAATTCTAACAAAAAATTATTGCGTACACCTTAAAAACATTCATCATTCAGTACCTTTGAGATTTTTAATAATTAGAGTCGAGTATTACATTCAAAATGTCTGATTATCTTAAATCTGTAACTTGAGTTCTCATTGATATTATAATTATCCAAATCAATGCTTGAATTATTTGTTTTCAGAGATTCACATCTTGCAATTTCAAATATATGAGTTTATCTTCAATTTATGCATTTGATCCTGATAAGTCAACAGTATTTACACATGAATATTCATTGGTAAACAATGGTTTTGAATTAAGCAAATTATTTATATTTGTCTTTCTCTCTGTCACTGTAAATCCTTGTCACATCTTATTGTCGTATCACAATATTTCTATAGTGTCGGCTTACAGCCTGACAAAGTAAATTATTTGAAGTTTGGTCACGGAATTATAAAGCAAATTTTGTGTGTAAAATTCCAACTGAACGCGTGAATTTCATTTGATATAATTCACTATTATTATTGAAATTATACTGTTCTTTTACCAAGTGATTTTCACACTTTCGTCGCGTAAATTTAATCTCTTTTAATAATTTCACTCTTATTTGAAAGCTGACTTAATTAAATTGTGTCACTCTCACGCAGAAATTCATTTCGATTTTCCATATACACATAGAATCGCCCTCTGGCGATAAATAGTGATCCTGCTCTAGCAATTTCCTGGGGCCAGAAATCGTTTTGATGAGGCTTTAGGCGAATTGAAGGGTATTGGCAGGAAAATGAGTGACACAGTGAATGGAGCATACCTGAAGGCAATCGATTTCCTCTCCAAATGATGATCATCTTGGGAGAAATTTCCAACTCTCGTCACTCAAGTGAAATAATAACGTACAATTTCTCTGAATAAACTGAACACAATACACGAGTGGAAGTGATTTTCCGCCACTTGGATGGCAGCCCATATCGAGGCTAGGAATGGGCGTAAATGGCGGGAAAAGCGAGAGACAAGGAAAATTTTACTCTTTTTCATGGAGTGTTCTGGCCTTTCTCAGTGCATCCTCATCCTGCAATATTCCCACTCTCCCTTCGCATTTTTTCCTATTTCTTCCTCATCTTCCGTTCTTCCTCCATCTTCGCTCTCATGGAAAACCTATATTGTTTGCCTCTCTGAATGTTTATACAAAGTCAAGAGAGTATAGTGAGGTGGATTGAAAGAAAGTTCACAAGTTACAGGAAAGGGCGCACGAGGAAATACGAAAACAGTTGCCATTTCAGTGATCTTCAACTATGACTCAAGATGAGGTTGCCACAAAATAAAATTCTCTTGTCTCCCCCATTTTGCCCCAATTTCAATTCACTCACCCACATAATGAAAAAGCTTTCTCGCCCTCAATTGTGGGTGGGTGAAAGCGCACAAATGATTATTTTTCCTTTACACCCCATTGACAGATTATTTAGAATAGATCCGTGAGAGTGGAGAAAAATGGATGAGCGAATTGAGAATTGAATAAGATGAAGTGTGAAATTTAATTGGATGTTCACTTTTCAATTTAAATTTCCATCATCATTGATCTTTGTCGATTTCACACGAGATTGTGAAAATGAAAATAATAGGAGCTTTTCGCGCTGTTTGTTAGGAAAATTAAGAAAATTATGATATGCTATAATCGAGTAAACAAAGTGAACAAAGTGACTTCAATGGGAAATCTTATTTTTGTGTCTCAAAAATAACGCGCATGCAAAAATGCAGTGTACAAATTTGAATAGCAATTTTATTCTTGATGTCCTTGCAGATATCTCTCTTAATCATTTCTATGAATTTTCACCTTAACGTATTTTCCGGAAGAAATTAAGCTGCTTAACTCGATTTTGTGAGCTGAGAAAAAGT